TGTCCTCTGCTAAAGGTCAGTATTAATGCCTTCCTTGGGCTCTTTCTGCAACAGTCTCCTAGCAACCTGTCCTTATTCAAGGTAATTACAGTGAAGAAGGTGTCGTCTCCAGCTGATAGGTGTCCAACTGTTCTTTGAGTTGTAAGACATCTCTCAGTAGTTAGTACAGCCATGTAAAGCTGAGAGGAAGTGCTTAATAAACTGACATCTGTGGCTAAAATCAGTAGCTTAACTCTTATTCCAGCAGGTAATTCCACATAACAGCTTGTCTCATAAATCTGTTGACTTTCTTCAAAATGGCAGTCTTTGTAGCTTGAGTGATTATTAGTGAAGGAATCCACATTTAACTTGGTCATCTGAACTGAATAAGAATTCACCATGTTAGCATCTCTTTATACGGTGCAGCAATTTTATCTTTGTTTCTTGGGTAAGTTCTTTGATCAGCGTTTCTGATTACTGCCATTTTGGGAAATACACTGTTTTGTTGGCTTACCAGATATTAAGTACATTTGTTCTTTAATGCATTTAAATAGCTCCACAATGTTCTTGTTTAGGCTATATGTACCTTGTTAGCTAGAAAGCTATTTCATATTTTTCATCCAAGAAGCTGGACTTGTTTTGGGCAATCTCACCGCTCTTATTGACCCCATTCCCAGCTGCTGCATGTAGCTGTTTTCCAGCACCAAATAGGGGGCAGACAAAGTTAGCAAGTAAAGAGACAGAGTCAATATTGGACTAGATTTATTGGTCGGACAGAAACATGAGTCCAAATCTATTTTCTCCATGTCTGCTGGATGTGTATATGCATATATATGTGCCAATGTTGTGCTTACTTAATGCAGGTTTAATCATGCAGTCCATAGGCCAACTTATTTGTTACACGCACTAACAACTCATAACGGTGACCACGAAGTGTATCATTTCTTAAGATGTGTGTCTGATTAGAAGTTCCCCCACCCCCACCTCTTAAATTTTAATAAGCCCTTTTGAGGATAACCATGCTTTCCGTGTTTTTAGCATTAGCCTGCTCCTCGCTCACTGGCCACGCATGTTTCGCATGCTCTCCATCTCACTGTAAATGATTCAGAACTACATGATCAAAGTCATTTTGAAGATCTAGTGTGTGGTTCAGGTTTGCATGGTAGACAGCACACTCTCATGCTCCTGGCACACTCTCCCATTCTCACAATATCCACGCACACTGCCTGCCGAAACCTAATTTGTGGATTAACCTTGCATTTACATCTTGGAATGTGGCACCTTCCGAGGGAAAGTGTGAGCGATACCGCCTTGCATTTGAAGAAATCATTAACAATTAAGAGCAGAAGTAAGGGATGACTCAAAATGGTTGCAGAGCAGCACGGAAGCAGCAACGGCAGCTGAAATAGTAATGTGTTTTCCTGTGTAGCTGTCAGCTCTCTTATCTCATATCCTTTGAGTGGCAAAGACTCCAACAATACGGATAATGTTCTCTTCCTGCTCTCAGAAACAGTTAATGGGAAAATCCATCCTAACACGGATTTCACATATGTTATTCGTGTGTTATCCCACATTTGCATCTACCTTTTGAAAAACATTCATATTGTATCCACAGAACAAGGACATGTCTATCTTTGATGACAAGATGCACTGGCTGTACATTAGTGGCTCTGCTGTGTGAATGGAAGGTACTTTCTTCTGCCTTACTGAACTCTCACTACTGTATGAGCTAATGTACAGTATCTACTTTTAGGAGAAAGAAGTGGATAATACGGTCAGGATGAGCAGAGTGCAAGCCAACTGACATCTCTTTAAATTGTTTTTAAATAAACCGTAGCAGCCTAAAATCTTCAGGTTAAAAGGTTAGAGGGTCATAAATCAGACATACACTTTATATTTAGTCTTTTCTCTGAGGCAGTGCTCGGTGCTCACCTCGCCCCAATCTGCTCATGTTTTATACATGTCACCCTTCACACCGTGTCTTCATCTTGCATGTTCCCCAGGCATACATTGAAAAAATGGAGAGATCTATGTTTTGTTTCTGTCAAATGTTTTTCTCCAGGGCAGAGTTTGGGCAGCCTGATGATTGAGGATATGAGGAAGAGAGACGTTGGGTCCTTGAGCACGCTTAGTAATGTCTCCACAGGCCTGTGGTGATGCTGTAGAGGTGCTCTGTAGACTCTTAGACCTGCGAGGAATTTAACATTTACTGAAGTTGCTGCAATGCTGCTTTTGAAGGTCCAGTGTGTAACATTTA